GAAGATTAAATTTCTTCACTGGCTGGAAAGTAACTCTCCATTTAGGAATAGGAGAGTGTGTTTTTAACCCATGGTAAATCCTTCCCTAAACATCCTGCCTTGCTATTGGGTGTAATCTGCTGTGCTCCTTGGCTAGTTCCTCATCTTCTGTTATGTTTTCCACATGTCCTCAAATTGTGCTTTTCCATTCAGAATTGAATTTGCTATTTCTATTGCTGCTGTGAGCTGGTATCTCAGTCTGATGAGCCAGTTTGGTGTAGTGGTTAAGTGCGTGGACTCTGATCTGGGAGAACCGGGTTTGATTCCCCACTCCTCCACTTGCACCTGCTTGGATGACCTTGGGCAAGCCATAGTTCTGTCAGGGCTGTTCTTGAAAAAGAGCAGTTTCTCTCACGAGCTCTCTCAGCCCCACCTACCTCACAGGGTGTCTGTTGTGGGGAGAGGAAGGGAGAGGAGTTTTTAAGCCGCTCTGAGACTCCTTTGGGTAGTGAACAGCGGGGTGTAAATCCAATCTCCTCCTTCTTCTTCTACCTCACAGGGTGTCTGTTGTGGGGAGGGGAAGGGAAAGGAGTTTCTAAGCCGCTCTGAGACTCCCTTGGGTAGTGAAGGGCGGGGTATAAATCCAATCTCTTCTTCTTCTTCTGATGCAATCGCTGTAATGTCCCTGTTTTTAACAGCTATATTACGAGAAGCCCTTCAAGCTAGTTCATTTCGATCAACATTAAATGTTTCAGTCTAATAATAAATAACATGAATTAATCTTTGAAGGGGAGAGGTTTGACAGAGGGGAACTTGTGTGCCCTTTGAACTACCCTGTTTTCCCGAAAATAAGACCTACCCCAAAAATAAGCCCTAGTAGGATTTCTATGCATTTGTGGTATAAGCCCTAGTGTGTCTTCTTGAGAAAAAATAAATATAAGACTGTGTCTTATTTTCGGGGAAACACGGGTATGAACACATAAAGCTGCCTTATACTGAATCGGACACTTGGTCCATCGAAGTCAGTATTGTCTACTCAGACTGGCAGCTGCTCTCCAGGGCCTCAGGGAGAGATCTTTCACATCACCTACTGCCAGATCTTTTAACTGGAGATGCCGGGGATTGAAGCTGGGACCTTCGGCTTGCAAAGCAGATGCAGTACCACTGAGCCAAGCCCCCTCCCTCCGTGATCTGTCTTTGTAGGAATAATGTGTTATTGCAGAGGGCTCTATCTGACCACAGGCAAGTTTTTAGAAGAAGAAGAAGAGGAAGAAGATTGGATTTATACCCCGCCTTTCACTACCCGAAGGTGTCTCAGAGCGGCTTACAAACTCCTTTCCCTTCCCCTCCCCACAACAGACACCCTGTGAGGTGGGTGGGGCTGAGATAGCTCTTGACAGAAACTGCTCTTTTTCAAGAACAGCTCTTATCAGAACTATGGCTTGCCCAAGGTCGTCCAGCCAGGTGCAAGTGGAGGAGTGGGGAATCGAACCCGGTTCTCCCACATTAGAGTCCATGCACTTTAACCACTACACCAAATTGGCTCTCACACTTCTTTTGGCGCCTTTTGTCATTCAGTGTTTTATATGGAGAGAATGCAGTCTCAATAAAAGGAGATTTTCCCACTGTGTAGTATAGTGGCTGATGCTGCCATGTTTCTTTCTAGTGACTTTTTGGTGAAGATCGTGGAGGTGGCCGACAGCAGCCAGCAAAAGACATTTCGAGGGCATGACGCACCTGTTTTAAGTGTCTCATTCGATCCACAGGATGCTTTTCTGGTAAGATGGTTTCCTGTAATGATTTCTCTTCAGTGTTTTCAGTGCTAGGAACTGTGGCTCTGGGGCAGAGCCTCTGCTTTGCATGCTGAAGGTCCCAGGTTCAGTCCCCGGCATCTCCAGTGAAACGGACCCAGGTAGCAGATGACATGAAAGTTCTCTTGTCTGAGACCCTGGAGAGCTGCTGCCAGTCAGAGTAGGCAGTATGGACCTTGGTAGACCAAGGGTCTGGTTCAGTATAAGGCAGATCTCTGTGATCCCAAGTAATGTGGGCATTCAAAAGCCGCAATTTTAAGAATTTCAACTTGTATACTTGTATGTGACATTAAATGGCAGAGTTTTGGGGGGTTTGCTGGCCTCTGAGGATGACCAGACTGGTTTGTGTGCAAGAAGACAGTGCTTGAGGTATGTTGATCCTAGACTGTAGAGGGATTTAAGAACATCAGAAGAGCCCTGCTGGATAAGATCAGTGGTCCCTCTAGTCCAGCATCCTTTCTCACACTGTGGCCAGCCAGTTCCTCTGGAGGCCCAACAACAAGGCCGAGAGGCCGAGGGCCTCCCCTGATGTTGCCTCCTGGCTCTGGGATTCAGAGGTTTAGGGCCTCTGAATGTGGAGGTTCCCTCTGAGTCACCATGGCTGGTAGCCATTGATAGACTTATCTTCCATGAATCTTTCTAATCCCCTTTTCAAGCTGTCTACTCCTACGGCCATCATGACATCCTCCATCAGCAAATTCCACATTTTAATCACTCTCTGTGTAAAGAAGTATTTCCTTTTGTCCATCCTGAACCTACTGCTCCTCAGCTTCATTGGGTGCCCTCGGAGTTCTAGTCTTTTGGGAGAGGGAAGGAAAAGTTCTCTATCAGATTTCTCCACCTCGGGCATAATTTTGTAAACTTCTGTCATT